AAAGTATTACGCCGAGGTAAATTTAATTTTCCCTGCATAACATACGTGGTGAGTTATGACATTCTAGATGAGCACTCGTGTTGGCTGTTCATACAGAAGGCAGCGATCTTGACTGCTACACTTGGCCCCTAACTTTACAACAATGCTGACCTCTAGAGGTCAACCTGAGGAGTGAGTAATTGTCACCAGAAGGACTTTCAAACTTAATTAATTAAATAGTGATACAACTTGCACTGATAATAAACTCAATAAAACACCAGCCTGGGGGAAAACATTTTATATAAAAAATTTGCCTGAAATTCTGGCAACTGTAAGGTCCTCAGAAGAAGCCCTGTAGCCATGTTTTTAAAAGGGGCCAGATGTCCATCTGTACGCCATTTAGTCTCTCGGACACGCAGCAGTTTTAAATTACATAAAATTCTACTGCAATTTCCCATTACAGAGTGTTTTCTCCCTCCTTTCCACCTTTTTTCCAGCTAATAACGATTTTTTCACTCGTGTTCCTGTGGGGTCTGTCCTGCTCCTGTATTGTTCGGCCAGTTTTACGGCTTGTGCCAGATGTCCATCTGTATGCCATTTAGTCACCGGGACACGCAGCAGTTTTAAATTACATACAATTCTACTGCAATTTCCCATTACAGAGTGCTTTCTCTCCCCTTTCCACCTTTTCTCCTGCTAATAACGATTTTTTCACTCTTGCGTTCTGGTGAGAGCGGGTCTCCCTTCACATAGTCTATGTGGAGAATTCCTCTCGACAAGATTGAAACCATGTGAATGGAGGAAATAATGGGGTCTTTAAAGGTCCCTCTGGTGAATGGGCTCCATTGATGGGCCCTGCTCTGTCCAGCGAGTACAAAGTTACTTCTGACAAACATGGGGAAGAGGGGAGGAGAGCGCAAAGAGGAGGGGGTCGCCTCCCTGCAGGACTCTCCCGTATTCCTTTCGACTCTGTGAAAGTGGTCTTCTGGATCCTATTAGTGAGACACAGAGAGAGAATTCCTATTTTTTGTGTATGGAGGGCTCTGAACACTATTTATACTGTGAGAGAGAGGGAGGGGGAAAGGGGAAAAAAGTGTTTTATTTCTTGGTTTGTCTAGAAAAGCCTCTAAGGAGGCATTTAAAGAAATTCAGGAATTCAGTCTGTCACCCCCTGCAAATGAATTAGTTTTGGTGCACCGAGAGGTCATGATACAAATCAGCACATTGTTCCAACATCCCTCCTCTATAACCTCAAGTGAAAGTTATTTCCTAATTGGAAGCAAGATTTGTTTTTAGCACGGGCCTTTTGCTTCACACCAAAAATATCACGTCTTCCCCCAGACATTTTTCACGCTTCTTCTCACCGATTCTCAACTCATCGCTTTCAAACTTTTTGGTAGTGCTTGCAAGGCAGCACTATAGTAATATTACTCTAACATTCTGGTTAGGTTTTGTTTTAAACACTTGTACTTTCACAGTACCAATGTTCCTGTCGCATAGTAGTCTCTATACAGGTAATTAAATGATTTTTGGTTTACTACACTATTTCTTTCAATAATGGGAAATTCTAAAATGGTTATGTAAGAAATTGAGAATTATAATATCAACCTTAAAAAAATTTTTAAATGTCAATAATGTCAGCCTTATTACGCATACTACTTTTTAAAACTTTATATATTTTAAGGAATTTTATAATAATTTTTAGCTGACATTGATAAAATGTTTAGCACTTAAAATTCACCTAACTGTAATGATGTCATCATAATATCATCATATTTGCATACTGACTTGCAACCTTTCTTCTTACACCAATTCAATCATATAACTGTTAATTATCATTTAGTGAAAGCAGCATTTTATTTACACACTTTAACATTACTCTTTTGTTACTTTCAAGCACTCTTATTTCATTCAGGACATGCAAATCCTTTTGTGTTTTATTATTTTGACACAGAAACACACAGTTATTGATATTAATCTACTGATGTGTCTTAATAAAACAATGAAAAATTTTAACATGCACCAATGATTACTTTACAAAAATTCAATTAGATACAACTGGTAAAAAATCCCTCAGAAGAGCACACCCTGTTTCAAATGTGAGTGTCATCTAAAGTCCTAAAATTAAAAATGCAAATACAAATGCAATCATTAGTAGAAATTAAGATAATGTTAAAGCTTGACTGATCATGCAGGCTTAAAAGAAGGTAAAACAGTGAGTTAGGCATTATTCCATGAGCAACTGAAGAGCTAAACAGAGGAAAAAAAGAACAAAGCAAAAGGTGACATTTCAGGGCAAGGGGTCATCAAATGCAGAAAAACCAACTTAAGCATCAGGGGGAACCTGATATCTGGAAGCCTACTATTTAGGAAATTATCTAAAATGTTACCAAAAGTATATTACATATTCACCTGTTGAGCTGTCCATGCATTTATGTGAAGACAGTCAAAGTAAAGAATACATTGTCCACTGATAAAGCTCAATGTCAGGCTGCCTTTAGATAAATCCAAAGTTGGTTTCTCCACAAGTGTCATCAATCAAACACTTATCATCAAGCAAACACACACCCCTTGCCAAACGCTCACACACGCGTGTGCGCACATATGAAAGCATCAAGGAAGCAAAGCACACTGCACACACACACAGCATCCAGGTGACCTGAGGGGAGCCCGCAGGCCTTGAGTTTTACAGGTTGGCCTTGGCTGACCAGATGCAGTAGATTGAACCCGGACATGGCTGCGGCCGATGCTGCTGGGAGAACAGAAACAGCGGCGAGACAGGAGCCACCTGCTAAAACACCCTCCTACAACTCAGGCTAAAAAATAATAAAGACAAACATATGCGAGGAGGGAGAGGAAGGAGAAAAAAAAAACAACATAGGTCAACACAGATGTCAGTCACAGAGATGGACACTTAGAGCAGCCTATCACGGGACGGCTGACACTTCTCATGCAGGGAAAGACTGATTAACGTCACTGTGTAAAGAGAGAGAGGTGAACGGGAATGATAAATATGTAACAACATATTACCCACAATTCAACTGAAAACCTCGTACACTTAAGACATATTTCCTTAAATAAATAACCATTTAATGTACATCACAAGGTATAATATTAAAAAGCTTAATATAAAAGAGTGCAATATTGATTTTTAGTTTTACTAAAGGCTTTTAAATATTATACCTCACAGGGGCTCAAAAAAAAAAAAGTTTAGCCAAAGACCTTAAAGCTGCCATTATTCACTTATTTATTTTTGATTGCTGACAGTCTGATGCATATGGAAGCCCATTTCTGCCATGAGAAAAAACTTTCTCACACAATTTGGACTTTTTTCCTTGCAATTGTGAGTTTATCTCACAATTTTGTAAGTTAACATCTTGCAATTCTGATTTTTTTTGGTCAGAATTAAGAAAACATCATGCAATTTTGAGTTTATATCTCGCAATTCTAACTTCTTATCTCACAATTCTGATCGTTTTCCTCAGAATTGTAAGAAAAAAGTCTGAACTGTAAAATATAAACTCAAAGTCAAAATTGTGAGTTGCAATTACCTTTTTTATTTTCCATTTCAGGCTTCCATAAATACATATTAAGCAGTGAAGTGAAAAATTATTATTTGACGTTTATGAGAAGTGATTAAAAGGTCAGAGAACTTCATTAGTGAATCCAACATATATTTTATGTCAAGTTTAATGAGCTGGGTTATTAGTTTTAGAATTCAGAGCCCTGAGAAGACAGAAAAAAAAAGCACAGAAGCAGTTTGCATAGAAAACAGATAAAAAAGCTGCCAACACCGAGCTTATCAGCGGTTTCTATGGCTGTAGCACATCAGTTGTGTCTGTGGGCCATAAAGAGAAACCTAAACCTGTAATTCAATTTATCCTAATACACATTAGCAACTTTGCTAATATCAACTGTACTACACAGAACACTTGTGTTTGTATATAATGCCCTAAATCAATGCACGACACGACAATCAATCTGCTTCTCATTTAATTAAACTTCTCATTTAAATATCGCACATTATATATCCTAACCACATTGGTTACAGTACCTAGTGTAGTGGGTGGAATCAGTGCTAGGAGAGGTCTTGCGGACTTATGGGAATGAATGCATTGGAGCAGGGCCATGGATGTGTGCGGGGCCATGGATCGGAGAAGACGGGCAGCCATCCTGGCCTACGGCAAACTCGAGCGCACGCTGAAGAAAGCAAGAAGGTTTTTAAGACCTTCTTCAAACCTTCTTGTAACTATAAAGATAAAGACCTATGAAAAAGGTAGATTTAAAAATGTTAGAGCCCCAAACTTGTGGGAAATTACAGCTGAACTACAGGAGCAATAACAGGCAAAGCTACAGAGCACTGTTGAATGAGAGGGTGAAGCTGCGGTTTATAAGGAATGAGGTCCATCTAGTGGTCGTGCAGGTGTGTGGGAAAAAGGGAGAGATCTTTTCATTTACTGCAACAAGGAGACAGAACAGTACAAATGACAAATTATCATCAGAAAGAGCTTGATTTGAACATTTTTCCATTAAGCACTAATTCTTACTGTGTAGAAAAAATATTTTAATATATGCATTATACATGGCATCTTCCACCAAACAAGCTCTGCTCTCATGTCACATTTTGAGCCAATTTTTTTTCTTTTCATCAGCTATCTCATATTGATTTGTAGTAGATGTGAAGACAGTTCTCCTCAAAAGCGTAACCACAGGTGTAGTTCATCACATTAACTATGAACATATTCCACGTTTGACCAGAAATTGTCTAAATACATTTTGTCTTAATCTTGAACAATATACCTATTATTTTTTTTTTTTACCATTTAAAAAAAATAGTGCGTCACATTTTACTTGAAAATTATCCATGTGTCTTTAAAATAAACGCAACTTGGTTTGATATTTTGATTATTTTGGCCTCATTTTCACTAAATTTCTGCTCTGTAAATGGGTGTCTCAAATAATCAGATAACATCCAATACATATTTACAATAAATCCAATATATAGATTTATTTTTAGAAATAAAATAAACTAAAGAAAGAAAGACATTCACAATATATCATTTAAAACAAAAACATTTTAAAAATTAAAGGAAAAATAATGAAAACATTTTGATATATTAAAAATATTTTATATTAAAATATTTCATTTATAATTATATATTATTATGCAGCAAATTTGTAAATATTACTCCACTGACCAAAATAAATAAGGCAACCATGATTATTTTGTATCTAAATTCAGAATTGTAATGCAACAGTATTGACACTCAAATGACTTGTTGGCACTCAAGTGACTCTTCACTTGACTGGTCTGTCTGGCATGGTTTTAACACATGATCAGTTACAGTCACAAGCAAGGCCACATTTTAAAAACACCCAACAATCACTTGCAGAGAGAACTATAAATAGAGCTCAATTACAGCTCTGCAGAATCACACCATAGGTCTGTGACTGTCTACAGCTTGATGTTTACATCTTTTGCATTCCAGAAAGTTCTCTTTAAATTATTTCAACACTTGATCCGGTTTCCTCCAATCTTACTGCTTGTGTATTTTATCAATTCATTTATTTTACTCTGTTAAGCTGTACTGATTAATATTTTCAAACCCACTGCAAAGAGAAACCAGAAGGTCAGTACCGTGACTCACAAATAACATTTCATCTATATTATTACATTAAATGTCCATCGGATGACTGAACATTCTGACAGGCATTTAGAAGTTCATTAGATAGGTGTCAGTACTTTAGAAGGCAATTAAATAAACATGACATAAAATATTAATGTCTCTGAATGGTCTGCACTTACAAAAGAAGTACCATGGTAGAGCGTACTTGGAAGTACATTGGAATCTCATGGTAATACTGTGGTGTGTACATCATTGTATCATAGTAGTACCATAGTAATTTTTTTGTAAGGGTGTGGTTTGCATAAACAAAACGTTATGTAACAATGCCTCGCTGCTATGACATAGTATATACATAGTACACAGTATACAAGTATAGTATACAAGTGTAACTGATATGCTTTTTATAGAAGACTAGAACAATTTCCTGTGGCTATTTACGTAATATTTTGTTATAATAAATTAGAAGCATAAAAACAAATAAACAGATGAAACAAACGCATAAATATGTCATACATTTCAACTGCGTCAATTTTAAACTGACTAAAGTAAAACGGTGTTGTGTTACACATTTAACGCGTAGTCATAGAGACCCTGTTGCCTACGTTAAAGTCACTTAAAAAGTGCGTAACAAAAAATATAAACATATAACAAGCAGTTACACGTACCAGAGAGCAGAAATAGCGTTAAAATCCAGTAGAACAGCAGCCTAGAGAGTGAAGGGGGGGCCGCGGTGAGAGCAGTGCATTTGTCAAACAGCGACACGACCGTGTACTTCTTAGGTAATGACAAGTGCATTCTGGGAAATTCCTCTCGCCGGCCAGACGAGCTCCAAATATGAGCAATGCGTAATTTGCGCGCATAGCTACTCAGCGCGAAGCAGTTTGTGCGCTTTGGTAAGCTAATTACGTCATTAGACTGTACCAAAATATAGGTTATGGTTAATTTGATTATTTGCGTAATGTTTCATGTTGTTATCGGGTCTAAACAGACGTACGAGAACCTCGGCAGATTTTGCTTTGCATGTCATCATCACATCCTACTTCTTTCGGAATAAAGCTGCCAGTACCTCCTGGTGTGGTCTGGGATCAGCCAACTGGCGAAATGCGAGAAGCTGGGGCTTTATTAAGAGATAATACTATTAAATAAATTATACTTCAATTTAAAAACATATTCCATAACAGATTCAAAAATATCTCTTGATCAATCGCCAAGACTAAAAACATACTTGAAGTCTTAAGACCACACCATTGTTTTCAATTGCACTAACTTGTTCACCTAGATATCTGGAGTGGGCAACTACCGTTGACTCTTCTTAGAAATATTTTCAACAATTAAAAGATCAACCTTATCTAAAAAGCCATTTCCAATGTTTTATATAAATGTAGATGGGAAAGTGAAGATAAAATGTGCTCATGTAGATCATGTAATGAATCTCATCAAGGAAGGAGATAAACATAAGTAATAAACAAGTACATTTTATTTACCTCATATCCACCCGAACTGCATCTAAACAAAGGCTGATAAATCTTTCTGTGATCCAAAATACACATGACCGCAGCACGACATGCTGTTTATGAATGTGTCCCGATACAAATTAGAATCAGATCGCCATATCAGGCTGCGGCTGTAGCACAAGTGTGTATAAGAAAGTCAAAAAACAACTTCCATCAAAAACGTCTCCTTTGGAAATTTAGTAGGGTCGGGGACAGATTAAAAACAGCAACAGGATGGCATTTAAAATCTGCCAAGAGATGGGTCAGGAAAAAAAAAAAGAACATACAACTGCACCAATTATAATGGGAAAAGTATAACTTTTAAAATATAAATGAAAACAACAGTAAATAATTATATACTTGAATATAATCAGGCTGTGACAATTAAGACTAGTGTTCAGAAACATGGCATTGAAGGGGAACACAATTGTTCATTTCTCTCACAAAGCAATGTAGACCCTCCAACATGACACATCTCTAAATGCAGCAGTGTAGTTATTCTGTTGGCAAGAAACAAACGAGAGCTTATGACAATTTCAAACAGATGATTTCAACCACCACCATTCAATGAGATATTTACAGCACCCCTTTCTTAGAGTGTGTGCATGCTGTTCTTGGACTAAAAACAAAAAAAAAACAAAAAAAAGGCGACAAAATAATAAAGGGAATACATCAGCTAAAACATCATCTGGGAAATAAACATCCAAAATGAGATACAATTCAAAGCTTAAATATAGGCATACTTTAACCAGCACATGCAGCTATGTATAGCCCAACAGAGCTCCTTGGAATTAAGGAGGAGAGTTAGTTACATAAAAAATAAGCAGAGGCCGGAAAACTCTCATTCGTGTTGTAAGATGTAAAGTTGGAAGCCATTTTTTATCATTGAATCGGTCAAAGAAAATACATAAGAAACAGAAATTTGTGTCCACTTGCACCAAATATGAGAAGGACAGAGATTGCGTCATCCACCTCTCCTAAAAGTTCTCACTGGACCGAGCAACTCTCTCTCCACCGGTTTCATGCCAGTGTGTGCATCTCCCTTGCTTTCCTTGATACCGAAGGACAGGAAAAAAGAAAAAACACAGCAGCTCACAGGTTTAAACACCATTGTTTGCATATGGCTGGCAAAACTGATTGGGCGTCCCAGCTGGCCCAACTGTAGAAGCTCCTGAATGCGGTTCTCTCTGGTAAGGAGGACGCAGGAGAAAGGAGCAGAGAGGGCAGAGAGGATGGTGGTGGCCGTTAGCATGTCCCTCAAGAGAAACCCAGTGAGCTGGACGTGCTGGATCGCTGGTTTAAGCGAGACATGCTGTTCATGCTGGAGCTGGAGGGCTTGAGGGGCGTGTTGCAGCCCAGGGCTTGTGGGAAACGCTGGTGGTAGCGATCCAGGCGTAGGTACTTGACCGTCACCAGCTTACCTGTAGAAAAGGCAAGTTGGGTTGAAACAGATTGAAAATGGCAGTTCTTATGATTAGTCTAATGCAATATTCGTTTACCATCAAACCAGGAGCCATGAAGCGCTTTGAAGGCTTTCCCAGAATGCTCTGCTGAAAGGCACTTCACATAAACGCAGCCCTAGATGAGAACAAAAGCATACAGCAAATCGACCCATTAGTTAAATGCTTCTAGGAATATTACGGTTAAATTCAACAACAACAACAAAGTAAAATTCTAAGCCAACATCATATCCTTTGTGAACAAGGCAATACCAGAATGCACTGCTAAAAATTAATAAAATTAATAAAATAAAAAAAATCGAGATGAGGTAAAAAAAGAAATAAAAAAAAAAGAATAAAATAAATACAGTTCTGTGTAATTTAAAAAAATAGATATTTTACCCATTATTTGTTTGTCCCATTTCATTTTGCTAATATTAATATCTAGTACACATTAGCTTAGCGTCACGATTCACGCTAACATCAAACTTAATTCAAATAAATTGTGAGTAAAGTCAATTAGCACGATAAGCTTAGTGGAAAACTATCCAATATGGTGAAAAATAATGTTCAGAGTACTTAAAGATAGATTATTTTGGCCAATATAAAGATTTGCCAATATAAATATGTCCCATTTATGCTTATTACAATATCTAGCATTTGTAAGCTTAGCAACATGCTAACATGAAACTCCATTGGAATCAATGGATCAGATCAAAGCAAAACAATTCATGAGGCATAAAAAATAGTTTTGCTAACAATAACACCACACATTTAAAATCGACTGTTCTATGTATTTTATGCTTTTAACAATATCACACTGTTAGCTTAGCAATACGCTAACATCAGACTCCATTGGAATAAACTGTGAGTCAAGTCAATTTGTGTGGTGTGATGAGTTGTTGCATGTTGTTTTAGTGTGTTACAAACTGGCCATTTATGAGGGTCCATGATGGCTGGGATGCTGCCTTTGAAGGCAACAGGCAACTCATTAGCTTTTGGACAAGATCTTATAAACCCAGGTTGTCTATTTTGTAATGAACCACACAGGATTCTCACCTCTCTTGAGTTTTTGTCAACAGCTATATGAACGATTCCATCGTTATCACTGCACTTCTCCAAAATGGCTTCTTGAATGGCGAGGTGCCAGTTTTCGCCCACTTCCCTGTTCAAGAGGGAAATACTGAGTAGTTAAGATTACTTTTTTCTAAAACACTCTAATATCAGGCAAACCTACATAATATTATGCAAGTAAATACATTTTACTTGAACCACCAATTCAATGTGAGGTCACATGCAAAAGTCCTTGAGAGACTTACATTACAGGATCAAACATGTTGCGAATCTTCAAGCATGGCGTTAAGCTGTTTGGTGGCGAATTTCTTCGGTCCAACGGAAATGCTGAAGAACAAAACCAGCCATTATAGGTTTGAGAACATACTCTACATGTCCAAAAGAATGTGGACACTATGCATAACAATGTGTTGAAAGTTTCTTATGATCATGTGTGATTCTGAAAAAGTAAAAAGGCATAAGTGTGGCCTTAAAATTAGGGCTGGGCGATATGGAAAAAAAAAAAAATAATCACTAAGTAAAGGTGTAACAAAATGTCTCTAGAATAGACATATGGCAGAAAAAAATAATAAAATCCCGTGTCCAGGGATTTTTTTTGCCATGCATTGGTCATAGATCTCTTTGTGGCGTTGCCTCAGATGTTGAACTAGATTTGTTGCGCCAAGCTCACACGTACTCACTCCATCTGCAGTGCGTATACAGCCTATGTGTATGCGGTGCAGAAGCAGCACGGACTCATTTTATTTTCACACAGGATGCGTTTGCAGTCCGCTCCTGATCCGCTGTGAACGCTCTGATCCGTTAACATGGGCGCGGAAAAAATACACACCACAGACGGAGTGTGTGAACCTGGCGTTACGTTTGTATGCCCGCCCGGTCTGTTCTGTTCTCGTGCTCCATTTAGGCGCGCTGCATTCTGATTGGTTCGGATAGCATACTGCGGGAGGTCGGGCGCGGAAAATCGTGTTGTAAAGCGATTTAGAAAACGCGCACGCTCAAATCGCGATTTTATGACGATTTCGATTATTCGCACAGCCCTACTTAAAATGCAGATGGTTGACTCCACATGGAGAAACTGTTACCTTGGCCTTGCCACACTTTGGAGGGCATGCTGGACATCTTATCAGGTGACATTGAGGGCTGAAGCCACCGCCACACCATGAAGTCCGCCCCTCCAATCCTCTGTGTTTCTGTCCGAATACGGGACTCATTAGCTGAGAGGAACGCGACGGCTCTGTCCCACACTTTCTTCATCTTCTTTCTGAGAGAATGACATAAACATACTATTCAGGACTCACATACACTGGACTGGGAAAGAGGGTGTTTCATACAAGAATGCAACCTGAATTAAAACCAAATTCGCACTGCAAAGACACAATACCTGTCTTGAGGCTGGACAAGAGAGTCACGGACGTGAGGGATGGGCAAATACCGCTGCAAGTCCTTATTCTCCTGACAGGCTTCATTGTGGCTTCTCATTACATCTGTAAAAGCACAAGGCAAGGTATTTAAGATGCTTTACACCTGCATTGTGTAATTTCTGTGCTAAAAATATAGCTTAACGATGAGACAGTCTTACCGATGATTCTCTCCACCATGTCATACATCTGTCTAGTTTCCTCCTCTTCTTTGCGCCATCTGTATTTCATGTAATACACCAAACCCAAAACTACACCGATGCCTACAGAGAAATGTAGGAGAGGTTAGTGAAAAGATTTAGATCTTTCCTGTGTCAAAAGCGCCAACTTCTACAGAAAGCCGAAGCCAACCTGCAAGGATGAAGAGAAC